ACACATGCCTACCACAACCTCACATCATCCCTCCCCCCTGCGGGGGGGGTGGGAGAGGATGGTGTGGGGATGACACACCCCTACTTTAAAAGGTTGGCCAACGTTGAGAAACACTGCCTTAATGAAACCTATGAGGCAGCTTCCAATGTTCACATAAAATAGATGTCATCTTGTTTTCTTTTCTTTTCTGGAAATTACCCTCTTTAGCTATTCATTGCAAAATTTGCCACCAGAAGATAATGACTTCCTACCACCTAGGAAGAACTGTAGTTTGACAGTTCCATCTCCTTTCAGCCATTACCTAATACTCCCCAATTTGGCTTCAAACAACATGTTTTGGGCAACCATCTAAAACTAAAAACTCTGGATATCCTAAGATAAAAATAGCCTTTGTTCTATTTAAATCTGCTCTCTGCCTCCTACAAGATAAGATACAGATCTGAGATACAGCTCACCTTTAAGATTCTTTTTAGAAACTACGTGAAATGGATACATGGAGTTACACCTGGGACAGAATTCTACTTGATATACTGGCTCCATTTTATCTGCAAATGAGGAAGTTGCTTACTCACAGGCAGAAGGTTAAGGTACCCCTCCAGATGCCAGGATGTGGCTAATATCAGGACCAAGCACTAGCTGTTGAAGAATTCCTCAAAGCTATGCATTAACCACAGATAGAAGACTGATCTTTCAGTAGCCCAGGAATGGATGATAGATGCTTGTCATAACCAATGCAGTTCCCTTCTCTGTATTTTCTTGCCTCTGAACCATCTATATAAGCTTGCTTGACCCTGCACTTGAGGTCTTGCCCAAGGAAACATGGCCAAACATGTTCTTTGTGTGCTTGACTAGATCTGCAGACAAATTGTGTCCTGATTGAAGAGACAGATGGACTTGAACCTGCCGCTTAGATGACTGAGAAGAGAGCTGAGTGAACTGAGGACTTTTTCTCCAATAAAACCAAGAAGTTGTGGCCACAATATCTGGATTTTGAACATTCCCCCCACCCTCTCTTCCCCCAGCATTTTGTAATATCTAGCCTGACAAAGAATTCTGGAGAACAAAGACTCTGCATTCTTTGTGGCATTTTGAATGATTCTATAGAAGTGTTTTGTACATCAGTTTTTTCCCCCTCTTTGGACTAGGATGACTATTTTCATTTTTTTCAAGTGTTTGATGATGCCTTCATGACTAACCACTTTATTGTAACACGAACATCTTGCAGCCTATAAGGAATATAGACTATATTCAATGACAGCAAAACTGGAATAGGCTGTTCACCATATTTTGGAGATGTCATTGGAAAAACATTCTGGGTAAGGGAGTTTGCCCTCCTGATCTTCTAGAAAAACACTGTAAACACAAAGAAGCAGTCTTTCCTGCTTTGGTTCTGTTAACCAGCCAACATTTTTCCCTACAGAAAGAGACTGTATCAGCATTAGATAGAGCATGAAAGAACCTGGAATTGCTTGATTTTTCCATGACCTTTCTGCCCCCAACATGACTTCCCAATCTACTCCCCCAAGGGTGCCCCAGGTTCAATGGTTGTTTGACGGCAAAGAGCCCTTTATCAAACTATTTTGCCTAAGCTTAATGATAATATGTTATCAACAAAATCACACTATCCCTTTATCAATATCTTGTTATGGACAGCATGACAATTGTTAAAAATGGAACAGCATCGCAGCTCTCCATCTTTTTTTCTTTTGTACATTTTTATATTTTTTTGACTAGAATAATTTTTAAAGTATGACTTTGCAACAGATACTTGAAATAAGGCTTGCAAAAAACAAAAGAGGGGAAGATGACACACCATACCTTCTTTTGCTAGGGATAACTCCCATCTCTTCACTGTCTCCTTCTAGTGTGACCCTTCTTGCTTGCCACCATTCATCATCAGAGGCATTGATAACGTGGAGAATGTCTCCATACTTGAAGCTGAGTCCTTGGCTTGGGAGGCCACTGTCTTTGCTTTTGTCATAGTCAAACATGGCTCTGTTGGAAGAAAATGCACAAAGGATGGCTTGATAAACCCAACTTGGACAGCATGTACTCTACCAACCATCAGAGGGGAGCTTCTGGAGATGATCCTAAGTTTTGAGTAGATACATATTAAGAAAAGCCTTCTTCCAACCTGACCAACTAAGGAGGTAAGGCATATGGGGAAGTAGCTACCAGATCTATGTGTACAAGAGGGCAACAAAGAAAAAGAGGTGGGTTTTTTTTGTCATAGCGTAAATCTTCAATGTCGTTTCAGCTGGAGCAAATTGTTATGAACGATTACATGACATTAATCACCATTTTCTGCACACAGCACTCTTATGCATCATTAATAACACTATGATTTATTCATCCTAATGAAATAAATCTTTGCAAAATGGTTGTCATCACAGGAAGTGGTGTTTGATGGCTTACTGCATTGGTACAGGAAAATAATTTTTGAAGCTGGGAGTATCCACCTAGGGTCAAATTAGGCTTGGAAGGAAGAAACTATTTTTAGATAGTCTCTTAGGAGGAAAATTTCTGGATGCTGTTTTTTTTTTCTTTATGGGGAAAAAAAGTTCCAGGGTCCAGCCAAATGGTCCAACCCATTCCGTTTACTTGACCAAGATATTCCAAATAGGTAATAAATAAACAAGTCTTCAAGACTTGTCTAATGGATAAGAACCATGAGTTTATCATTTTATGGTACTAGACTATAAAATAAGGTGTGTTAATAGTTGATGGCTGAAACATGACGATTATACTTTATGAGAAAGTGTGGAAAAACCGAGGCAACTCTGCAATCTCCAATTATTTTGTACTACAATTTTCTTTGTATCTTTTTGGAAACTGTTTATGGAGTAAAAACTAGGAATCATGTCCCAGGATTGGAGAACTAAATTTCCAAATTGCAAACTTTGCAGATAAATGGCTTGATAGTTTCTAGGGAGCTGTCCCCATTAGCCTGTCCCTGGGAAGAAATGGACAAGAAATTGCTCGGTTCAAATTTTAACATGAACCAGTCTAACTTTGGACTTTCTGAGCTCATACGTGAACCGGAACCAGCACACATACAAAACTCATGCATTTTAGGGGTGGGGGGTGGGAAAGAGAAAACCTTTGGGAAAATTGCTTGCAAAGATGTATTGGTGTCTGCAGTGGGGGCAAGAGGGGGCAATGATGAGAGCAGCGTTGCGCCAAAGAGATGCAAACTCTGCTCCATTCGTCCATGTTATGATGTCACACACAGATACAAAAGGAGTGGACTGCATTTGATTTTTTTTTGCAGCTATATCACATTGGTGAACCATATTCAGCTAGTGCTCAACTACCGTTCCAAGATACTCAGTGAAACATGTTGCATTTGTCTCTCTTCAGCTTCATTTGGTTATTTTCCAGTGAGAAGATACTATTTACTGTAGCGTAAAGCAACCTGCAACACCTGCTCATCATAATTATTTAATTAGAAAAACACTTAAAATCTGAAATCTGCAGTTTTCTAATTCGTCGCAAACTCCGTCTCATTCACTTGCCTAATGATCCGTCCATGCTAGAAGCTTCTGAGGAATGGTCATTGTGAAACCCAGATCTGGGTCACATCTCCAGACTGAGCAGAGGCACCGCAGTGAACAGCAACACAAGCGATACGAAGCCACACTTAACAGAGTTAGCATACACCCATATGGCGCGCGTGGCACAATAACAGAATCAGTGGTAGGCCTGCACAAACTTAGTTACCGAATTAACTCTTTTTAAAGGTTTGTACTAACTCAGTGGACAGGGTTTGCAAATAGGTTAAGTCATAAATGACTAACCAAGGTTAAAACCAAGCAAGCTTATCTTACTGGGTGAATGGAGCCATTAGCTCTTAAACTGCTGTGCTCCACGATCTTATGTAATCACATCGAAGGCCTGCTTACTATAGTTGTCCACATGAAAGCACCCCAGAGAGATGGTGGCCCAATCTTCTTTGAAAGGAGAGCCCGTTTGGTCTAGTGGGGAAGGTCCCAGGCTAGAAAGCAGGAGATGGTGAGTTCTAGTCCCACCCTAGCATGAAAGCCGGCTGGGTGACTTTGGACCAGTCCCTCTCTCTCAGCCCAACTCACCTCACAGGATTGTTGTTGTGGGGAAAATAGGAGGAGGAAGGAGTATTAGATATGTTTGCTGCCTTTGAGTTATTTATAAAAATAATAAAAATGGCATAAAAAAAATTTAAAACCTCCCCTAGGTAATGGGTTCCACAGTGAAATGGCTCTCACCTTTAGATGTTTGTCTTAACTTTCGAGTGGAATTTGCTTTCCTTTAACTTACAGTAATAGTAATAATAAGAAACTTGCATGCCACTTGATTCTCAACAGCTCTGGGCGGCTCACCACAAAGGCATTACAATAAAATCAACAAAAGAAACAAACAGATAAAAGTTGGCAAGTGTGATGAAATGAGGGGTCTCCTTCTCCCTCACCAAAGCCTGGGTGAAGAGCCAGGTCTTCACAGATCTTCTACACAACAGCAAATTGGGGGCCATCCAGATAGGGAGGAACCTCATTCCAGATATAAATTTGCCTTCCTGTAATTTATTCCTTCTCTTGAATGCTGATGGGTCAAGAATAGATAATTTTCTTCTCCTGCAAAACTCCTTCAGATATCCGAGATTTCTATTCATGTGGGTAATTTTTTTTTTTTGGTATGTTTTAGCTTATATTCTATGCAAGAATATACTATACATCCTACTAAATACAAGAATTATACCAGGGCTAACTATAACAAACTTTGCCCAAGGGCCACATATTCTGGTGGTTTATTTTCCAGTCTCATGTAGCATTTTATAAGAACCCCCTTGATTTCACTCAGCAAAGATTTCATTTCATCACAATGGCTCTTATGGCTGATGAATCCAGATGGCTGCATCTTCACCCTGTTCAGGGCTATTATGGGCAAAGCTAATTAAAGTACAAGTAGAGACCCAAACCAGGTGAATTAGTGAATGACTCTGAAGTGACTGGATGGCTTCATTGCCATCGTGAGCTGCAAGGATGAATTGGAAAGGGATACAAGGTTTATTAGAGAGAATATGGAATACGCCTTCTTACCGTACTTGTTCAGTTTCGTGCATTGTACATGTGTTGGTATCAAAATTATGCTCAATTATACTCAAAATTGTTTCCCAAAGTATACACATTAACGTCAACAAACACAAGCTGAGTAGGGTTCTGTACTATAGCCAGACTCTGGTAGTATGATTAGACACGTACCGCTTACTCAAGAGAAATGATATGCTTATGACAACAGCCTAGCTTTGTATAATGGATAGGAGGTTCAGCCAGGATTACTCAGCGATTTTATTCCACATTTCAGAATGTGCTGAAGAATATTTATTTATTTATGCTTTTGCACTTTGCCCAAACGCTTTGAACTTGAAGAGTGTCGGCAATACATGTTACAGTGCACATTACAGAATACAGAATACAGGTTGAATGGAAAATGGACTCTAGACGTGCTATGGATAGAGAATGGAATATAGGATAGAATATGTGCTACCAGATGCTTTGCTCAGAAAGTGCCACGAAACAAACAAAAGAGCACTTTACAGTGATATTGTGATCTTTTTAGGATGTGATCTTTTTAGAAATCTTTGGGACTTCAAAAGAAAATGTTTTTTGGCACTGATATGTCCAGGGGGGACTCAGTGGAGGTGTGGGTCTATGGCAGTGTTTCTCAACCTTGGCCATTTTAAGACGTGTGGACTTCAATGGCCAAGGTTGGGAAACACTGGTCTATGGGAACAGCACAAAAGTTGGGGAAGACTTTTAGAAGGGTAACAAGTAAGAGCTGTACAAAGTGTTTCAGTGAAGCGTATTCCGATCTGCCCACCAACTATGCCCTGTTCAGGATGTTCCAATCTCTTCCCTTTTGCAGCCCAGTGTTCCTTTTCTTCTCTCTGCTTCTGACACACACCAAGTATTTTAAAGCAACCGAGCCTGATTCATCTGGTCTTTTTTCCCTCCATCCCTCCCAGTGTAAGTATGGGTGACCTCCTTCTGGGCCTTTGTTTTACAATGCCATCATCATTCCCAGGACAATTGGCTTATCAGGGAGAGTAGAATGCCCCATGGTGAGGTCCACACAAGGACCACGGAGACAGAGTGAAAGCAAATGTCAAAGAAATGTAGGAAGCTCTCCCCTTCCTTTGTTCCTTCTCACCATGTTTAGATCTCAAAAGGACACCCTGTCCAGGATTGTTCTGTGCTGCCAGGCGTGCCTGAAATGGGTTGGCTTTGAAAGGGTAGATGGAAATCTCTTGTGGAAATTTCTGCTTGTCTCATCGTTGTATGAGGGAGAGAGAGAGAGACTGAGCAAGCACATCCCTGCAGTGCTGCTCCAGGACAAAATATATGTGCATGTATTTTTCCCAGCCTTTGTTTGAGGAAGGAGAGGAAAAAAACACTCATTTTAAAATAATACGCCCTCTCCCTCCCACGAGCTTACAGGAACCCACTGCTTCCATTTGTTACAGTAGAATATAAAAGGTCTCTAATTGGGGGGGGGTGATTAAAAATAGAGACCCTCCCAGAGGTGCATCTGACCCCCAAATCATTGCAAATGATCCAGAGGCCCTTCCAAAAGTTTTTGCTAAATTGTAATATTTAATTAAATTACCTTACTAATAATGTTTGGTTAAATTTTAGATTATATTAAAACTAAATCTGAAAAGGCCAAACTGGCCTAGAAGAAAGGCCAAATGAAGAATAGAAAAGAGACATGGCAAAGCAAAGTATTACATGGGCAGTACACAAAAAAACTATGAGGCAAAGCAGATAACAACAAGACCTGGCAATGGCTAAGAGCAGGAAAATTGAAGAAAGAG